GTCAAAGCTCGCCTTATTGTTCAAGTGACGAAAAGTGGTAGAAAACGAGTAATATGAGTGATAGCTGAGTCTGACCCGAGTGGGCGTTACCATCTGATACGGATAGTGGTCGTGCCCGTAGCTGAAAAAGTGCTTCTTTCTCGCCTCAGAAGTCCACGCAATTGAGCGGTCAGTGTCCTCTCCTTCTTGCTACTCTCGTGCTGCAGTTTGTGTTTGGAGGATCTGTGTCTATAAAGGTCCTACAGTACAATCCGCACTCAAAGGCAGCCAATAATCAGAAATGAGAAAAATAGAGGGCGCGACCATAGCCAAGCGTGAAGCGGGCCATGCAACAGCACAGGGAGTGCTTATGCATCACTATCATCCGAGCACCTTTCCGTGCGCTTTTGACCAGAGAAAGAAGCACACCTTTCTCCTTTGAACCCTTTCACCTCACAGGCAGCAGGGATCAGGGCCCACGAAGATGGATGCAAGGCATTTCTCCAAGAAACATCTACCGGAATTTTACGATCACCGCTCGACAACTTTTCAACAGGGGGTCGCTAACTTATCGGAAGCACTCTGGAATTTGAACGGTAAAAGACCGCTCTCATCTGTCGAAGTGGTGAATCAGAGCTCTAGACGGTAATTGCATCTCCATAGATTCACAATGTTTCCCATTCCAAGAATATTAGAAAATAAAAATATAGGAATTTATTTGCTTAATACTCAATACACTGTACATGTTGCTTAATACTCAATACACTGTACATGAGCAGCGGAGCAGCCGATACGGCCTAACATTTGTTCAACACGAACTGAACGGCATCGATGTTATCATTAGCGAATAACGACGAACACAGGCAGAAGTTGTACTGCCACCGTCAGTGGAATGTCTCTGAGTATCCAAGAGCCAGCGTGTTCTTCATGCACGTCACCCATGGCCTGAAAAAGAGTTGAGTTTAGGGTAAGAATTGAATTGTTATATCCTCACAAATTTTCTTAAGGCACATGTCCAACATGATCGGGACGGCAGGAGGAATGGACGGAGATTCTCCATAGCTTGACAATTTCAGTGGCGCGCACCTCCTTCTTATGTTGCAAAGGGGGAAGGACGCGCCAATGAAGCGTGCTGCTGGTCTGTGTCTAGTTCTCCGCCCATTTGATTGTCGTAGAATGTGATCTCAGTCGTAGCTCTATGCCATTAACTTTGAGTACTTTTTTGCTGGGGTCATACAGATCTAGTAACCTTGAGTACTTTTTTGTTGGGTTCACACAGATCTAGTGAAGCCACAAGGATAGTATACAAGCCCAGAACATTGGAAGCCCTCAGAAATCCCGTTTTTAAAAAGCTCACTCTCACGAAGTACTCAAGTCTATGGTATCTGTAGCAGTTCTCACCTAAACCAGTGATCCAGTGTGGTGACGTAGTATTGGCCGATATGGTGCTATTCTTCGAGCTGCAAATTATCGGGGAGGGCAGCATTTATAATACCTAAATATAAAAGGCTAATCATGCAGAAATTCCCCGTGTAATACCTAAATATAAAAGGCTAATCATGCAGAAATTCCCCGTGTTTAACTTCAGCTCATTGACTGACCTTGATGAAATCGGGAGACTTGGAGTACTATTTCTACTTCTCTTAGTACTTCTCGCAGTAGGCGTCGGGCAGATGATAGCCTGAAAATAGTCCATGTAAATTTTTTATTGATCTTCTTCTTACAACTGACGTGAAGGGGAGAAAAGCAGAAAAATCCTTGAAAAAAGGTTCCGCTATCGAGCAACTCTTGGAATTCTCTCCTTGTACTATTAGTCTGGCCTCTTTCTCCAAAATTATGGCTCCTTTGCGGTTTCACAATAAGTGACGAAAGCGAGGCGCCTTGACCCTCACAATGGCATCTTTGACGTCTTTTTACCGGGACTCCTGAAGTCAAAAGCTATTTTCTGTCACAAGTTCAGCTTTTACATCAGGTACAGAGTTTCCAAAAAGGTGCGGATAACGACATGTGGGGAAAATATTCTTATCGAGCTCGCTCACCGGATCGCTGCAATGCTTCCACGCTAGTTTGAGATTTTCACGTTGAAAGTGATGGTAAACCATGATCATCGTGGAAGACATTAAAAACGTTCATCATTATTGTGTATAAGGATCCGTTTATGATACCGCGTACAGGGGCGTAGCTGCCCTTTGAAAAAGAATCTGAAGGTCTAGCCACTCCAGTTTTTGCAGGTGCCTTCATCTTTCAGCCACTTGCATTGTGAATGCCATTGACTGTTGAAGGATCGTGTGCAAGCACATGGAAGCCGCGCCGCGCAAAGTGCCGCGCCGCGCACAATTGATCGATCAAGATGGCAGCCGGAGGATCTCACTCAATCAGCGTTGGCACCGGTCTCCACATGGAAATACTCTGCGTCTTAACGGCGCCGGCAACGTTCTCGGGGCGCGCCGGCAACGTTCTCGGGGCACAGCCAACGCTGCCACCACAGCGCCAAAAA